AAACACAGAGACGCTCGCTGCGGTTGACGTCGTCGTGTCTCCAGTGTCACATGTGGGACACTTTTGGACCGTTTAATGTTCACACTGGAGTCACATACAAGTCACATTTAACTGGAAATGTGAACGACCTCGAAAAAACATCGGATTTCACACAAAAAAAAAAATCTGAATTGAGCGTTAAACCCTGCAGTCTGAACGTAGACTTAGTTTTTGTGCAGGTTTGTGTTTGATGAGTTTCAGCTGTTTCACTAACCTCAGACAAATCGGTGTGAACGTGTCCTAAAGATGTAATTCAGATTTAATGAAATATTTCACCAAAACTCCACCAAATCTAAATGAGACAGAGACGTTAACTCGTTTACTTCTTTATTTCCTTTAGTTCAGTGCTTCATGAATGTCACGTTTGTACAATTTATACAACAGTTTTAGTTTTTTGTTTTTGTTTTTTTACATTTCACAAGATTTTAAAGTACGTTTTAACTATTAAGGCATTATTAAGTGCTCCTGCTCATCCTGCGAAGCACAAACATGGAATCTGATTTAATACACAAAAACAAACAAAAAGAAACAGTATATATTAAACTTTTACTCAAAGTTCATAGTTTATATCAAAACTCACAGCAAAATCTTTAAAAAATGAAATAAAAACAGGAAATCGTTTGTGATTTTACCATAAAAATATTCCAAAATAAAAACTCAGACATGTCAGACTTAAATTCGTTGGACCTGATCTCATGTTTTTGAGTAAATGTGTCTTGTTTCAGTACAGACAGATTTTATAAACAGAATAAATCCACTGTGACGCTCCAGAGTTTGGCCGGTTCACCTGAGCACGAACAGACAGCGTCCGGGAGGAACAGATTACAAGTACCAGCATCATGTAATCAGAGTACAAACTATGAGTAACTGTATTCAGTTACAGTTACTGTTTCAGTGAGTGGTCATTGGATTACAGTTACTTTGTTGAAATAAATGGATTACACAACCAGGACTAAACCAGGACTAAACCAGGACTAAACCAGGTCTAAACCAGGACTAAACCAGGTCTAAACCAGGACTAAACCAGGACTAAACCAGGACTAAAAACCAGGACTAAACCAGGTCTAAACCAGGACTAAACCAGGACTAAACCAGGACTAAACCAGGTCTAAAACCAGGTCTAAACCAGGACTAAACCAGGATTAAACCAGGACTAAACCAGGACTAAACCAGGACTAAAACCAGGTCTAAAACCAGGTCTAAAACCAGGACTAAACCAGGACTAAACCAGGACTAAACCAGGACTAAACCAGGACTAAACCAGGACTAAACCAGGTCTAAAACCAGGACTAAACCAGGTCTAAACCAGGACTAAACTAAACCAGGACTAAACCAGGTCTAAACCAGGACTTAAACCAGGACTAAACCAGGTCTAAACCAGGACTAAACCAGGACTAAACCAGGTCTAAACCGGGATTAAACCAGGTCTAAACCAGGACTAAACCAGGTCTAAACCAGGACTAAACCAGGTCTAAACCAGGACTAAACCAGGTCTAAAACCAGGACTAAACCAGGACTAAACTAAACCAGGACTAAAACCAGGTCTAAACCAGGACTAAACCAGGATAAACCAGGACTAAACCAGGTCTAAAGCAGGACTAAACCAGGACTAAACCAGGACTAAAACCAGGTCTAAACCAGGACTAAACCAGGACTAAACCAGGACTAAACCAGGACTAAACCAGGTCTAAACAATATGACACTAACAGTAGGTGGACATAATTTAAAGCACCAGTGTCTCATATAAAAATCATTTCTTTATCAATAATATTTTGAATCTGGTGAAGGAAAATCTGGACTTTTTGTGTCTTTTGGCAGATTAAACATCGTTGCTTCTCTACAGCAAACACCTGCCTGTTCATGGACACGAGTTCAACAGACAATTTGAAGAAAACAAACAAGAATTTTCAGGATGTGGTTGTTACATTCATGTAGTTTTAAAAAACACGACAATATCAAGTAATCCAAAGTATTCAGATTACATTACTCACTTTAAGTAATTTAATGGATTCAGTTACAAACTACATTTTGGTGTGTGTCATCTGCAGTGTTGGGAAGGTGACTTTTAAAATGTAATCCCCTACAGATTACAGATTACACACCCCAAAATGTAGTTTGTAACTTAATCCATTAAATTATTCAAGGTGAGTATTGTAATCTGATTACTTTGGATTACTTGATTTGTTGTAGAGAAACAAAGACGAGGAAATCTTCACATAAGAAGATTTGTCTGAAAAAAGAAAATAAAAAGCCCAGATTTTACTGAACCAAATTAAAAATATTATTGATAGAAGAAGAAGAAACACGTCCACACAGCAGGATTTAGTCCTGGTTTAGATCTACTTTAGACCTGGTTTTAGTCCTGGTTTAGATCTAGTTTAGACCTGGTTTTAGTCCTGGTTTAGATCTAGTTTAGACCTGGTTTTAGTCCTGGTTTAGACCTAGTTTAGTCCTGGTTTTAGTCCTGGTTTAGATCTAGTTTAGTCCTGGTTTAGACCTAGTTTAGACCTGGTTTTAGACCTGGTTTTAGTCCTGGTTTTAGTCCTGGTTTAGATTTAGTTTAGACCTGGTTTTAGTCCTGGTTTAGACCTAGTTTAGTCCTGGTTTTAGTCCTGGTTTAGACCTAGTTTAGTCCTGGTTTTAGTCCTGGTTTAGATCTAGTTTAGACCTGGTTTTAGTCCTGGTTTTAGTCCTGGTTTAGACCCGGTTTAGACCCGGTTTAGACCTGGTTTAGACCCGGTTTAGTTTCCGGCAATGAGTGGAATTACTGAAAAAAAATAAAAAAAAAAAGGGGATTTAGCCCAAAATGTGAAAACAGGAAAATCCCGCTGTGTCCATTTATTTCAACAAAGTAACTGTAATCCGATTCCCACTCACTGAAACAGTAACTGTACCTGAATACAGTTACTCATCATTTGTACTCTGATTACATAACTCTGGTACATGTAATCTGTTCCTCCCCGAACACTGGTAATCTGTAATCTGTAATCTGTAGGGGATTACATTTTAAAAGTCACCTTCCCGACACTGCGTACGGTGTGTCCACGAGCAAGACACTTCACGTCTGCTGTCAAAAGGGAATCAAAGTCTTCACTCTCCCACGACAGCGACAGAACCAATCCAGGTTTTCTCTGTGAAAGTGAAAGTGAAAGAAAACGCACCAAACGAGTCCGGTCACGATACTGAAAGTTCAATCCTGATTCTGATTTCACGGTGAGAATAAAAACTCCTCGTTATTTAGACACTTGATTAAATGTTGGTACTTTCTTATTTCTGTGTGATCCTCAGTGATCCTCGGGTTTTTAGGATCGATACCTGCGAAAAACGAGGATTTGTTTTGTTACAGCACTGAAAAAAACTAAATCTAGTCAAGTTAAGACGACTTGATTTAAGAAAGTTTTATCATGACTTGAGTAAATTTCTCTGCACGAGTAAAATGATCTGCCAGTGGAACAAGATTTTTGTACTTAAAATATGAAAAATGCATCTTGTTGCACTTAAAATAAGAAACAAAATCAATCAAAATGTTGCTTGATTAAGAAAAACACACTTATCCCAGGGGTAGATCGTTTTCGACTGAAATAAAGTCAAATATTCTTCATTTAAGTCATTTTAATTTATTTAGATATTGTTTTTTTTCCAGTGTGGGTTTTAGTATTAAGTAGCAAAGCACCTCGAGTCAGACTTGAGTCACTATTTTTACGACTTGATTTGATAAAATGGACTGAGACTTGGGGCTCAACTTGGCCTTAAAGGTCTGTAACTTGGGACTTGAGGTCTGTAACTTGGGACTTGAGGTCTGTGACTTGAGAAGACTTGTTGCGTTTCCTAAAAATATATACGTTTTTAGAAAATACTTTTCTCTTTACAGTTGATAAACCAGAGGATTAATTTGACAGGAACAAACTGGAACATGTTTCTCCCACTTCTGTTTGTTGCTTTGGATGAAACTGAAGTGTTGTATTTTAGTCGCTCTGGATTATAAGACTCTGTCATTAAATGGTCTGTTTTTGAACTTTTTTCACAAATAAACCGTGTGGGACTTTAAAGGAAACCCAACAGTGTGACGGGTGAGTGGTTTTGTTTGTTCGTTCACGGTGACTCTGGGTTTTGTTCAGTTGTGGCGTGTAGGGAGGGTGTGTGTCTGCGACCAGCAGATTGTCGGCGTGTTCACAGTGACAGACAGAAGTGTACAGAGTAAGAAGCTGTCAAAAATATTCATGCGCATAAAATAGAAATCCGTGCGTATTTGGCTGTAGTTGCGCATTAAATAAATATTTGTAAACTCTCAAATGACTCCAGTCGTACATAAAATATATTGTGTATTTTATCCATCAGAATACGAACTGAAAAGTTACGACGTCATGAATTACAATCACGAAATGAAAATTTACGATTACGCTTTCATCAGTACGAATACGAATTCACAGACGGAACTTTACTGTCAAAAATCCGTCATCACTTCACAGACATTATTCATCGAGCAGAAGAAACATCGATCAAGATCAAGACTGTGCAGCTCAAGTTTGTAGCAGAGTAAAAACAGAGTAAAAGCACAAGAAGCTACAACAGAACAACAAGTGGGTTCATTAAAATCTATTGTAAAAATGTCTTGTCTTGCCACATTGAATTCGGGAACCGAACGCTGCTGTATAATATTGTGTAGAAACACCTCCTTTGAACGGGAAATTGCACCTATATGTTAGAAAACATAGTGGAGCCAGTTGGCAACATCAGACGTAACGTTATCCCAGGGCTAATTAACAAATATCAGGTTCTCTGTAGGTTTAGATTAAAACATTCACGGCTACAGCCACAGCGAGCATCAGTCAGTCTTCACTTGAAGAAAACTGTTTTTTTCCCCGTATTTTCTCATTTTTGGTTTTATTTTGAAAAACAAAAGAACAAATGACATGGATTGACCAAGTCTCTGTTTTTGTAAGCCTCAAGTCTCTGACCTCAAGTCCCAAGTGATGTGTGTGTGGGTGTGTTTGTCTGTGCGGTCGCTGTCTGCTCCTTGTGTGTTTGTAGTTTACTGAAGTCGTGCTGGGACTGCGGGCTGCACCCGCGTGGACTCGTGTATCTGGATTGTGGGACGGAGTCATTTTTTAATGGGGTTGGAGGCTTAAGAGTCTGAGCCCGGAAAATACAGTAAATATACTAAGTGTCCAGAGACACTGTCTCAGTCAACAATAAAACATCCTCATTAATGTTCAGTGGTTGTTGACTCTATTTTTATTTTGGGATTTACGAGTAATGTCTATGGACTTGGGTCATGAAGGTTTGTGACTTTTAAAATATGAGTCTCCAGAAAAAAAGAAAAAAAAACGTTTGGGAAACACAGACACAGAACAGGATCCTTCCACAAAAAACGGTTATTTAGCTCTTTTCAGTCTGAATTCTTTCTCTTCTGACCATCATGATTCAAACTTAGATCTTGTCAAGACATTTAAAAAGTAAAAATTTGCTTTTCTACAACTAAATAAAATAAAAAATAAACATTCTTATATAAATACGCCATGACTTTTTAAAGTACAATTTAGTTTAAAAGTTTTATAATCTAAATTGTATTTGGTTCTTTGGTTTAAAGACTTGAAATGACTTGAAGCTCAAAGAAGACGACCTGGACTTGACTTGGACTTGACTTGGACTTATGGGCCAGTGACTTGAGACTCGACTGGACTTGACTGTATTTGACTTGGGACTTGAGGTCTGTGACTTGAGGCTTACAAAAACAGAGACTTGGTCAATCCATGTGTCATTTGTTCTTTCGTTTTTCAAAATAAAACCAAAAATGAGAAAATAGGGGGAAAAAAACAGTTTTCTTCATTATTTGTCTCCAAAACCAAAATGAAAAAACAGATAATTTGTTTTTCCAGTTTTTGATTTTGTGTTTAAATGAAAAATGGAAAAAACTGATAACGGACTGAACCAGGACTAAAACAGGACTAAAACAGGTCCGGGACCAGACCAGGACCAGGACTTTGACCGGGACTGAGACTGGAACTGAGACCAGGACCAAGACTGAGACCAGGACTGAGACCGGGACCAGAACTGAGGCCGGGAACAGGACCAGGACTGAGACTGAGACTGAGACTGGAACTGAGACCAGGACTGAGACCGGGAACGGGACCAGGACTTAGACCGGGACTGAGACAGGGACTGAGGCCAGGAACGGGACCAGGACTTAGACCGGGACTGAGACTAGGACTGAGACCGGAACTGAGACCAGGACTGAGACCAGGACTGAGACCGGGAACAGGACCAGGACTGAGACCGGGACTTAGACCGGGACTGAGACCGGGACCAGAACTGAGGCCGGGAACAGGACCAGGACTGAGACTGGGACTGAGACCGGAACTGAGACCAGGACTGAGACCAGGACTGAGACCGGGAACAGGACCAGGACTGAGACCGGGACTTAGACCGGGACTGAGACCGGGACCAGAACTGAGGCCGGGAACAGGACCAGGACTGAGACTGGGACTGAGACCGGAACTGAGACCGGGACCGGGACCGAGACTAGGACCGAGACCAGGACCAAGACCGGGACTGAGGCCGGGAACAGGACCAGGACTGAGACCAGGACTGAGACTGGGACCAGACCAGGACTGAAAACAGTTTAGTCCTGGTTTAGTCCTGGTTTAGTCCGTTATCCGTTTTTTTCCCATTTTTCATTTAAACACAAAATTGAAAACTGAAAAAACAAATCTTTATCCATTTTTTCATTTTGGTTTTGGAGACATATTGTTTGTTTGTTTTTTTTCATTTTTTATTTTATTTTTGGTTTTATTTTGAAAAACAAATTAACAAATGAAACATGGATTTTGGTCCCACCTCTGTTCATTAGTATCTGATTTTTTTTATATATTTTTGACGATCATTTAGTTCATAAACATCATTTTGAGCACGAAACACGACAAAACTTTACACAGGTGTTCGAAAATATTCCAAATGAACAATAACTGAAAAAGTCCACTTAAAATTTCAGCAACTCAAATTCTGAAAAAAGAAATTCTGCTGTTTTTAAAATTCAAAATTTAACGGAACAAATGATTTTTCATCCGCACACGTCTCTGTAATCCTTGATCCTGTTCACATGAAACAAAAACTGGCACCAAGTTTCAGCCGCTTCTTCTCCACAAACGCTTTTCTCGACCACGAACGCTCGCACTGATCACACGCTCCTCAAAACGCACTCTTTAAATCACTTTTGTGTGTTTTTTCTTGGAGTTTTAGACGTATTTATACCGTGACGTCGTTAAATTGTGGAACGTGAATGTATAAAATAATAAAAATAAGTGCACTTTTCTCTAAACAGGTCTCGTTGTGAGGGTTTGTGAGCAGCAGTGAGAGACGGGTGTGTGTGTGTGTGTGTGTGTGTGTGTGTGTGTGTGTGTGTGTGTGTGTGTGTGTGTGTGTGTGTGTGTGTGTGTGTGTGTGTGTGTGTGTGTGTGCGTGTGTGTGCGTGTGTGTGTGTGTGTGTGTGTGTGTGTGTGTGTGTGTGTGTGTGTGTGTGTGTGTGTGTGTGTGTGTGTGTGTGTGTGTGTGTGTGTGTGTGTGTGTGTGTGTGTGTGATCCTCTGTGGCGAAGCTTCAGGTTTTTGTTTGTATTTTACATGTTTACAGTTTTCAGGAGGTGCTTCATGTGAGAGCCGAGGCAGACTGTCCGTTAGTGCCCCCGGTGGCCACAGGGCTCTCTGCAGCCGACTCTGAAACAACAAACAAACAAAACACAAATGTATTTTATTTTTTAATTCATGGGGTAACATAGATTAAAGTTGAAGATATTATAAAATACATTCCTAAAACTGTGACTGTGTGTTTTTCTCTGCTTCAATAAATTAAAATGTATTTAAGATAAGATAAGATAAGATAAGATGATCCTTTATTGTCTCACATGGGAGAAATTTGTCTTGGGACAGGGGGTCACATGTTTTATCAAAAAACAGGACGACACAACACAAAGCAGCACATAAACAAACACCATAAAACAAAGTAAATATGAGACCAAGTCTGACCACGAGTGATGCACCAACTGGAACCTTCAATTATCCTTAACAGGCCCTTGCATTCTTCTGTTCTATTAATTATTGCACATTCCCTAAGCCTATGTGCAGTTTTGGTTGCACAATCCCTAAGCCTTTTATAATTATTTTTTAACTGCATTATCTGAGTTTAGCAGTTTAACAGCTAGTGGCACAAAATAATGTTTGAATCTGTTCAGTTTACAGTTTGGGACCTGAACCTTCTGCCTGACGGCATCAACTCAAACTGACTGTGAAGAACATGGGTTGGGTCATTGATCACCTTCCTGCCGAGTTTCCTCACCGTCTCCTCAAACATTTGCTGAAGTGAGCTCGGGGCCACACCCATTATTTTACCTGCTCTTTTAGTCAAGGTAAAAATCTGTGCTTTAAGTTTGACTGACAGGTCACCAAACCATGTTGACATGTCATAGCGTAAGATAGATTCTATGCATGTTTTATAAAACAACAGCATTACATTGGTGTCAACTCCATGTGACCTAAGCCGTCTTAAAAAATAGAGACGCTGGTGATTCTTGAGCAGACAGACTGTACCTGCTGGCTCCATTGGAGCTGAGAATCAAATAACACACCCAAGTACTTAGAACATGTCACCTGCTCTATGTCCCTCCCCCTGATATTAACGGGGCTGTGGTCCCCGACAGATCTGGGATCAAAAATTATCTCCTTTGTCTTTTCCACATTTAAGACAAGGTTTTGCTCCTCACACCAATGCACCACTTCATCAATTCCTGTCCTGTAGCTGATGGCATCTGTGCTTTTACTGAGTAAACTAAGAATAGCTGTGTCATCAGAAAATTTTATTATATAGTTGTTTACCTGTCTACTCCTGCAGGCACTGGTGTAGAAGTAGACCTAAGGCCTACATTCACTCTGTGAAGCTTTAAGTCATGTTCTAATGTCGTTCCCTCATCACAAACAGACCTGGAGTTGTGTTTTGTTTCATTCGCACATGTTTGAGTAACTCTTTGTTCTCTGTTGCACCTTGTGATGTCATGAAGTGGTAGTGTTCAAGTGAACAGCTCCTTTTACCTTTAGTTCAGTAGAAATGGGCAAGTCCAGATTGATTGAAATGATCCAAATGATTCTAATGAAGGTGTGTGGAGTTTAAAAACACAGTGGAGCACTTCCTGTATCACCACATGACATCACAAGGTGGAGCAGAGTGTTTTCTGTTTGCGAGAAGAACTTTGTCTAAATGTGCAGGTTTGTGTCATAAACATGTGTGAATGAAACAAAACACAACTGCAGGTTTGTTGAGGACGACATTATATAGAGAACAGAAAATAGTGCAACATTTTTAAAATAGCACTTATTATTATTATTATTATTATTATTATTATTATTATTATTAATAATAATAATAATAATAATAATAATAATAATAATATATCATTTTTATTTATTTTACGAATTTAAATTAGATTTTTACTCTCCTTAGATTGGGGCCTCTGTCTCCCTCTGGTGGTCATTTTATTTTATTGCATTTATTTATTTTTTTACTTACTATTTGTTTCTTTTTTTTTTACTTTAAACATTTTATTTTATTTTTACTGTCATTTATTTTATTTTTTAAATGTATTTTACCTATTATTTTATTTATAAATTTTTAAATTTATTTTAGGAAATTTGATTTTTATTCTCTTTAGATTGGAGGCTCTGTCTCCCTCTGGTGGTCATTTTATGTGACATTTTTGAAAAATGTATTTTACCTATTATTTTTTATTTATTTTAGGAATTAAAATTTGATTTTTATTCTTTATATTTTTACTGTAATTATTTTTTTGTTTTGTTTTTTGTTTTACTTATTATTATTATTTCACTTATTTTATCATTTTTATTTATTTTAGGGATTTAAATTACATTTTTATTCTCCTTAGATTGGGGCCTCTGTCTCCCTCTGGTGGTTATTTTATGTGGTTTAAAAAATAATATATATATATATATATATATATATATATATATATATATATATATATATATATATATATATATATATATATATATCTGTCGCCCTCTGGTGGTCGGCGCTGGTACAACAGTCCTCACCTTTGACCGGGTGCAGCTCCGTCGCCTCCTCAGGGTCAGACTTGGGCTTTGTGGCTCCTCCTTCAACACAAAAAAATCAAACATTTCAAGATTTAAGAAGAAGCTGGGTAAATAAAGAGGGATTAGATGCAGAAGTGGGAAATAAATGTAACTAAACTCAACTTTCTGTCAGAATTTAACTTTAAAAACTGGGCAAATACTTCATCTAATGTCTTCTGCAGCACAAATTAACTGGAACTGAAATTACTGTGTGCTGCTTTTTTGTTAAAAATACGAATCTAAACTTGTGGATTGATGTTGTTACCTCTGAGTTTGAGGTAGACGAACATGGCGATCAGAGCCAGCACCAAGATGGCGACGATCAGCCCCACCACCCACCAGTACGAGGCTTCTTCTGGAGCGCTGCGTTTCCCTGGAAAAATAAAAAACACACACTTCAGCTCTAATGTGCCTGAACAGAACAACTCTCCGGTGCGGCGGCGTTGCTCTTGTGGCTGACCTGTGCCGCTGATGGTCACCTCGATGGTCTCCGTGTGGTTGCTCCTCGGGGTGGAGAACACGCAGCTGTACGTCCCCGTGTGAGGCTCCACCTCCGGGTCCATGAGCCGCACCGACCCGTCCCCGAACTGAACGCGCAGCCCGTCCAGCTCCACGTGCCCCTCCCACTCCTGCGACGACACGGCCTCTCCTGATTGGACGCTGTAGGTCAGGATGTGTTTGGGCGAGTCGCTGTTGGAGAAGGTCCAGGAGAGCGTCTGGCTGTTCAGGTACGATGGAGCGAAGCACGGCAGGGTCAGGTCTTTACCCTCGTAACCACGGAGATCTGAGGACGAGAGACCCGGGTTAGACCTGGGTTAGTCTGGTTTTAATCTGGTTTAGTCCTGAATTAGGGCTGGTTTGATCTAAGAGGATCAAGTCTTCAGTGTTGTGTTGGTTGGTGTCATGGCAGTCGGTGTTATGGTCAGTTTTGTGGTTGGTGGTGTGATCAGTGTAGTGGCGGTTGGCGTTGCAGTCGGCGTCGTGGTTGTCGGTGTTGTAGTTGTCGTGGCGTTCGGTGTCGTGGTCGTTGTCGTGGTCGTTGTCGTGGTCGGTGTCGTGGTCGGTGTCGTGGTCGGTGTCGTGGTGGTCGCGGACACCGACACCGGAACGAGCGCGTTTGCTCTGTCCAATCATATGCACGGTTTGTCTGCGGAACAGAATAAAACACTTGAAGCGTGGACAAGACGTCATATCCGAGATCCGAGTGGGAGATGGATGGATAAACAAACACAGCATAAGCCCCTCCTTCTCCTGTATAAGCCCCTCCTTTACCTGTATAAGCCCCTCCCTTTCTGTATAAGCCCCGCCCCTCACCTCGGTGCCTGTAGGAGGCGCTGTACTCGTCGCCGCCGTAGGGAGACGTGGCGGTGCAGACGTAGATCAGGTCCTTCTGTCCCAGCGTCCTGAGGCGACTGTCCACGGCGTACAGACCCGACCCGTCCAGCTGCTTCCGGGTCAAAGGCTGCAGGTCGTGGAAGGTGGGCGGCTCCGTGGACCACGTGACCCGAGGCGACGGGAACACGTTTCGGACGGAGCATTTGATCTCCTCGAAACCGCTCAGACGAGAGAGCGACACCGACACGGAGCGGATCGGAGCTGAGACAGAAAGACAGACACAGTGTTCAGTCGTCTGCATTTGACCCAGAAGAACTGAGACAAAGAGAGAGAAGAAGAAATATAAGAATAAACAGTCATCTGCATTTGACCCACGCACTACAGGAGCTGAGAGAGAGATTATACAGGCTACAGTCATCTGCATTTGACCCACAAGAGCTGAAACAGAGAAATCTTCAGTCCTAAATCCTTCGCATTTGACCCATAAGAGCTAAGATAGTGAGAGAAGAGTGAAGAAGTAAGAATATACGGTCTTAAATCTTCTGCATTTGACCACAAGGGCTGGGACAGACAGAAATATACAGTGTTCAGTCATATGCATTTGACCCACGCACTACAGGAGCTGAGAGAGAGAGAGATTATACAGACTACAGTCATCTGCATTTGACCCATAAGAGCTAAGGCAGAGACAAAGAGAGAGGAGGTAAGAATATACAGTCTTCTGCGTTTGACCCACACACTATAGGAGCTGAGAGAGAGAGATTATATACAGTCTTCAATCAGAGGCATTTGACCCATAAGAGCTCACACAGAGAGACAGAGAAGAAGTAAAAATAAGAGGTAAAATATGCAGTCTTCAGTCTGCATTTGACCCATAAGAGCTGAGATGGAGAGAAATATATAGTCTTAAATCTTCCGTATTTGACCCATTAGAGCCAAAACAGAAGAGATAAAAAAATATATACAGTCTTAAATCATCTGCATTTGACCCATAAAAGTTGAGACAGAAAGAGAGAAGAGTTAAAAATATACAGTCTTCAGTCTGTATTTGACCCATAAGAGCTGAGACAGAAAGAGAGAAGAGGTGAAAATATACAGTCTTTAGTCATCTGCATTTGACCCACACACTATAGGAGCTGAGAGCGAGAGATTATACAGGCTACAGTCATCTGCATTTGACCCAGAAGAGCTGAGACGGACAGAAATATACAATCTTCAGTCCTCTGCATTTGACCACAAGGGCTGAGACAGAGAAATATATAGTCTTCAGTCATCTACATTTGACCCATGAGAGCTGAGACAGAGACAAAGAGAGAGGAGGTAAGGATATCCAGTGTTAAATCCTCTGCATTTGACCCAAAAGAGCAGAGACAGAGAGAGAGAGAAGAGGTAAGAATATGCAATCTTTAGTCATCTGCATTTGACCCACAAACTATAGGAGCCAAGAGAGAGATTATACAGTCTTCAGTCATCTGCATTTGACCCATAAGAGCTGAGATGGAGAGAAATTTATAGTCTTAAATCTTCTGTATTTGACCCGTTAGAGCCGAGACAGAGAGAAACAGAAGAGATAAAAAATATACAGTCTTAAATCCTCTGAATTTGACCCATAAGAGTTGAGACACAGAGAGAGAAGAGTTAAAGATATACAGTCTTCAGTCGGCATTTGACCCATAAGAGCCACGACAGAGAGAGCAAGAGAAGAGGTAAGAAAAATATACAATCTTAAGTCTTCTGCATTTGACCCATAAGAGCTGAGACAAAGAGAGGGAGAGTTTTTTTTTTTTTTTCATCTTTAGAGGAGGGATGTAAGATTATATAGTCTATATTCCTCAGCATTTGACCCATTTGAGAGCAGAGAGGGGGAGGGGATGGTTATACAGACTGGACTTCTTTGCATTTGACCCACATCTGAGAGGGAAAGAGATCGAGAGAGAGAAAGAGAAGAAGAGGTAAGAATACAGACTACAGCCCCCTGCATTTGACCCACCCACTAACAGCAGCTGAGTGAGAGAGAGGAAAAAAACTGCAGCACTTTATAATATCTACACTTAATAAATTCTGAACAAAAACTCATTAATAAATAGTTTAATAAGAATAATTCAAGCTCAAATAACGACTTCATTCATAACCTAACAGCGCCGCCTCTCCGCAGATCTGACCCGTAACTGTCCTACTAATGCTGTACTGCGGGAGAGACCAGCAGATGGCAGCGCTGCACCAGAAATGTGACGTAATGCGGCTTTAAAACGTGAGCTTTTTTCAGTGGTCGTAATGTTTTGGCTGATCGTGACAGGCGTGAGTGTGTGTGTGTGTGTGTGTGAGTGAGTGTGTGTGTGTGTGTGAGTGTGTGTGTGTGTGTGTGTGTGTGAGTGTGTAGTGTGTGTGTGTGTGTGTGTGTGAGTGTGTGTGTGTGTGTGTGTGTGTGTGAGTGTGTGTGTGTGTGTGTGTGTGTGAGTGTGTGTGTGTGTGTGTGTGTGTGTGTGTGTGTGTGAGTGTGTGTGTGTGTGTGTGTGTGTGAGTGTGTGTGTGTGTGTGTGTGTGAGTGTGTGTGTGTGTGTGTGTGTGTGTGTGTGTGTGTGTGTGTGTGTGTGTGTGTGTGTGTGTGTGTGTGTGTGTGTGTGAGTGTGTGTGTGTGTGTGTGTGAGTGTGTGTGTGTGTGTGTGTGTGTGTGTGTGTGTGTGTGAGTGTGTGTGTGTGTGTGTGTGTGTGTGTGTGTGTGTGTGTGTGTGTGTGTGTGTGTGTGTGTGAGTGTGTGTGTGTGTGTGTGTGTAGTGTGTGTGTGTGTGTGTGTGTGTGTGTGTGTGTGTGTGTGTGTGTGTGTGTGTGTGTGTGTGTGTGTGTGTGTGAGTGTGTGTGAGTGTGTGTGAGTGTGTGTGTGTGTGTGTGTGTGTGTGTGTGTGTGTGTGTGTGTGTGTGTGTGTGTGTGTGTGTGTGTGAGTGTGTGTGTGTGTCTTTAGCGCCCTCTAGTGTGAGCCGGAGCCGTGTCTGTGGCTCCGTGTGCGTTGGCTCTGCACTCGCTCTTCACACTCGGCTCAGATTCTGGAGTTTGAGGAGGTGTCACATTTTTGCCATGATTCTGGGGCGACACAACGACAGAGTCACAGATAAAACCTCCGCACGACCCTGATACAAACCTGCGTCTGTGATCACGGAGCCTAAAACCAAAACCAAACACAGAAACTTGAATTGAAATAAAGTCACGAGATCCATCAGATTTAAACAAAACCACTGATTTGTCTCAGTTTTATACAAGAAATGTCCCTATTTTTCACCAATTTGATCTAAACCAGGACTAAATTTGATTTGATTTATATTTATTTTTATTTCAAGTTTGTGCCAAGAGAGAAACAATAATCATAAAGCACATTTCTTGAAAAGGAGCGGGAAGAAAAAAAACTTAAATTAACCCATAACAGTTTCAAAAATTCTAAAATGATGTGTTTGCTTCTGTACGCTGACGATAAAACTTTATAAATATTTACATATCACAAAATAAATTACATACTGTGCATACTACATATAATTTTAACTCAATTTCTTCCTTTTTTGTATTATATTGTATTATTTGTACTATAGTATTATAGTATTATGATAAAGAAGCACAGAAGTTTATCGTTTATGATCGTATCAAAATAAGCAAAATGAGAATGAAGAATGTAAGATTTTTTTTCCGTTTATGGAAGTACAAACCTAATCAGGCTAGCGCCACCTAGTGCCTCCGCTCAGTTTCATTTCTCTCCTGAGACTAGGTCATGAATCTGAATACACTAGACGGTCTGAAGAACCCTGGAAGTGTGAGTCCGGGCCCCAACCAATCAGTGAAGAGCCAGACATTCAGTGTTGGTGACGATTCCCGACATCGAGGATCGAGTTTGGAGATTTATTTTCAAAAACTGTAAGAGTTTTACAGGCCCAATGTAATTTTGTTTTCAAACGTGTTAATGTGTGTTGTGAAATGTAAAAGTGTTTTGTACTTGCGGCCGCTGGATAAATCTGTGGTTTTTGTTTAAATCTGCAGGGACAGAGGACACAGGCTCAAAACTGTGTCTGTCCTGAGGAAACAGGGACGTGTGGACACTTTAGACGAGTTTAACAACGCAGATCAACAGATCTGTTCCAACTAAGTCTCCTCTTCATGGTCAAACTGTCAGATTAAAGTCTAACAGAACATCTGACACAGTAGTGCCTACAGTTAGCGTCACATCCTTGGAAACGTTCTGACATCAGTATCGTCTTTAAATCTTCTTGTTCTGGTTCTTACCTTGCACTTTGACGATGACGTCCTGGTTGGTTTCCCCGGCGTCGGTCGTCACGCTGCACCTGTACCTGCCCCGGTCTCTGGGGGCGCTGTTTCTCACCAGCAGGGAGGCGTTTCCCTTGGCGACGGCCGGGTCGGCGAGGGCGGCTCTTCCCGCCAGCGGGTCGTTGGGGTCGCGGACGGTCCGCAGGTCCGAGGAGAGGCTGAGGATGAGCGAGTCCTGCCTGAACCAGAGCAGCTTGTGTGGGGCAGGCGAGGGCAGACGGCAGGGCAGGAGGCACCCGTCACCCACCAGACACGTCACATGGATCTCTGCAGACATGTGCATAATTACATACGTGTATTTATACCGTCCTACAATCACAGCTGAAACACTGCAGGCCCAACGAGCGCAGAAGAAGAGCCAAAAGAACATTTTACTCCAGAATCATACGACTGAGACATTTAGTGTATGTATAAATATAAATGTCCATCGCTGACACGCCGCCGCCGCCGCCACCACCGCCGCCACCACCACCGTCCGTGTGAGTCTGGAGCTCAGACGTTTATATCTCTGCCTCTGACTCCAGGTCACGTTGTATTGAAAAAGCATCACCCCCCCCCCCCCCCTCCCCCGTGTGTGTGTGTCTGCTGGAGGTGTGCAAAAATATATCAATATCCAAATATCAAATCAACACATTGTTTAATGTGATTATATTGTATCGATACATCCCCCAGTGTGTTTTTTGGTTTATTTTACTAAATTATTTTGTTACAGCTACAGTTTTGTGTGTGACACATTTGACATTTTCACTGTTTTGATGATTAAAATGTTTGTGTTTCATATGAATTTTGCACAAAGACTTTTAGTATCACAGCTGTGATATTTTTTTATTGAACCTTATCGAATCTGTTTAAAATGTTTTGTATCAAATTAAAAGTTCACTGTATCAGATTCAAATTCATTACACATGTGGAAACACAAGATCATGAAATGTGGTTTAGCAGAAGTGGAAGGAGAAGTAAGTGATATATATATATATATATATATATATATATATATATATATATATATATATATATATATATATATATATATATATATATATATATACACACACACACAAAATGTGGAGTATATACAATATAGAGAGTACACAGTATATTAAAACGTAGATTGTAGTGAATATATACAAATAAATGTACAACCACTTTATAACTCCATCCTCAAACTTAAATCAAAACAAACAATAAAAACACCAGGGGAGTCAGGTCAGGTCCAGAGACGTGAAAACATCTCACATGTGGAACTCGGCTCCACATTTGCCCCTCGGTCAGAGTCTGTGGCCCCGGGGCTGGACGATGCTCAGCTCTGCTCTGTACACGACTGAAGTAAAAGTTCAGTACAAGTACAGCTCCAAGAAATGATTCAAGTAAGAGGAAAACATGTGGACGTAATAATTTATAATGTAAAGGACAAAACATGAAATGAGTCACAAAATCTGCTAATGAAACAAACTAGACCAGACGTGAAGGAGAAGAAACACAAACGATCAAATCATTTCAGATTCTCACATGAAGCTTTTGTCCCTTCAGATCAGACGTGGGGTTTGTGCAGCTCCTGGGGTCACGACTCTTCACCTTCATCTTTTTATTTAGTCAGAACAGAAACTCTTCAGTCTGAGCAGCTCGTCACAATAATGAGATTTTCTGCTTTTTATGAAGAAATTCAATTAATATTCTGTATGACCTGAGTTCAGCGTTTCAGCCTCCACAATATTTTCTGTTTTCCACGTGGCCCCACGGAAAAAATAATGACCCCCCCCCCCCCCCCCCCCGGTTTAGACGCACTCACAGTGGGAAGAGGAAACACAACTCCAGTCAGGAAAAACACCGTTACTCTGAACCAGACCTGGGACCGAGTCTCAAGTCTTTGACCTCAAGTCCGAGTCAAGTCCCAAGTCACTGACCTTCAAGTCCAAGTCAAGTCCCAAGTCATTGACCTTCAAGTCCAAGTCAAGTCCCAAGTCACTGACCTTCAAGTCCAAGTCGAGTCCCAAGTCATTGACCTTCAAGTCCAAGTCAAGTCCCAAGTCACTGACCTTCAAGTCCAAGTCAAGTCCCAAGTCATTGACCTTCAAGTCCAAGTCAAGTCCCAAGTCACTGACCTTCAAGTCCAAGTCAAGTCCCAAGTCTTTGACCTCAAGTCCAAGTCAAGTTCCAAGTCACTGACCTTCAAGTCCAAATCAAGTCCCAAGTCATTGACCTTCAAGTCCAAGTCAAGTTCCAAGTCACTGACCTTCAAGTCCAAGTCAAGTCCCAAATCATTGACCTTCAAGTCCAAGTCGAGTCCCAAGTCACTGACCTTCAAGTCCAAGTCGAGTCCCAAGTCATTGACCTTCAAGTCCAAGTCGAGTCCCAAGTCATTGACCTTCAAGTCCAAGTCGAGTCCCAAGTCATTGACCTTCAAGTCCAAGTCGAGTCAAAAGTCATTGACCTTCAAGTCCAAGTCGAGTCCCGAGTCATTGACCTTCAAGTCCAAGTCAAGTCTCGAGTCACTGACCTTCAAGTCCAAGTCGAGTCCCAAGTCTTGGTTTGTTTTATCAAGTCAAGCCTCAAGTCCTAAAAATAGTGACTCAAGTCTGACTCGAGTCCAAGTCCCCGACCTTTGCTTTGCACTATAAAAAACTCAAGTAGGAGTAAAAGTTTTGGGTCTGAAAAGTTCTGAGCAGAACAACTTCTTTAACATGTTGGAGGTGAAAGTTTCTCGAGGAACAAACTCAAAAGTTTAATTATTCTCAGAAACTTGGAGAAAATGCAAACTATGTCCAAAACCCTCAGCCACCGCGGGAACTGGACCAGAGACACACACTCACACACACACACACACACACACACACACACACACACACACACACACACACACACACAGACACACACACACACACACACACACACACACACACACACACTATACACACACACACACACACACACACACACACACACACACACACACACACACACACACACACACACACACACACACATCACACACACACACACACACACACACACACACACACACACACACACACACACACACACAGACACACACACACACACACACACACACACACACACAGACACACACACACACACACACACACACACACATCACACACACACACACACACACACACACAGACACACACACACACACACACACACACACACACACACACACAGACACACACACACACACACACACACACACACACACACACACACACACACACACACACACACACACACACACACACACACACACACACACACAGACACACACACACACACACACACACACACACTCACACACACACACACACACACACACTCGGCCACAGCACAAAAGTGAGTCTGTGTAACCTGAACCCTCGCCCCAGTGCCAGGCTCAAGAGAACAAAGGCAGCGGCTCATCGCTCAGACCTGTTTAGAGCCGGAGGATTTACAGGCAACTAGAAACTTTTATTTCACCACTTTATAAAGACCTACTGTGTCACTTTTCTGTTAGTTTCCTGTCACGTGCCCGTCTCCATGGATACGACCGAGCTCTACAGGGAAGGTTCCACAGAGGAGCATTAAACTTACACTCTACATTTCTCTGTTTTCAGATTTATTATTGACTTCTTAGACTTCTTAGCTTTTTTGCAGTGTACTGACCAGAACATCCAGTCAAATGAAGCTCATTGAGGCGGCAGATACAGCGGAGAATTTGGAGTCAAGTTTCATCTTTGGAAATATGATCGTTTGTATCACAGCAACCAAAGAGCCAATCAGGAGCGAGGGTGTTATATTCAGTTCAATTACGATCGAGACCAAGACCAGTCCGAGACCTCTGAGGGTCGAGACCGAGACAAGACCGAGACCACGGCCCATCAAGACCAAATCAAGACCAACTTTGTCATTTTTTACATTTATTTGTATTTTACAGTTATTTCTGCACAAATATATCAATGTTTTTATAAATCATTCTCCATTTTATCTCTCGTCAAGTGTCAGATCTTGAGACCGAGACAAGACCGAGTCCAAGTGCCTTCAAGACCGAGACAATACCAAGACAAGACCGAGTCCAAACAGGGTCGAGTCCGAGACAAGACCGAGACAAGACCAAGACAAGACCAAGTCAAGACAAGACCGAGACAAGACCGAGACAAGACCGAGACAAGACCGAGACAAGACCGAAGACCTGAGACAAGACCGAGACAAGACCAAGACCGACAAGACTGAGACAAGACCAAGAGACAAGACCAAGACAAGACCAAGACCGACAAGACTGAGACAAGACAAGACTCCTTCAAGACCAAGACGAGACTGAGACAAGACTGAGACAAGACCGAGACAAGACCACATCCAAATGCCTTCAAGACCGAGACAAGACCAAGTCCAAGCTCCTTCAAGACCAAAACGAGACCGAGACAAGACTGAGTCCAAGCGCCTTCAAGACGGAGACAAGACCAAGTTTAAACACGATCGAGTCCGAGACGAGACCAAGACTGTAAAAAAACGGTCTCGAGTACTACGACACTTCTTCAAATGTATGAAAAGTTTTCTACAAATAAAGTTTGACTGATTAATCAATTTTTTATGTTCAGATCTCGACTTAAGAAATAAACACAAACATTTTAAGTTCCGTATGAGGAGCCTGACAGTGAACGTTACAGAGACGACGGTTTTTCAGTAGAAGTGAACTGGAGTCTTGGTCCATGTTCACTTCCTGTGTGGACGCTGCGTCTCAGGGTGTCGCTCCGTCCAGAGACGAGCTCAGTCTGAACTCGGTCTGAACTCGGTCTGAACTCGGTCTGAACTCGGTCTGAACTCAGTCTGAACTCGGCCTGAACTCGGTCTGAGCACATTTGAACTCGTCTTTTCCAGTTCTGATGCAGCGTCTGTAAGATTATTGCAGTGAAATAAAATCCACCTCTGAACCATAAACATGAATTTTAGAAATGTCCTTCGAGTTTCGTCGCGTCTCACCCCCCGGGCGCTCGGACCACACGACCAGAACCTGATTATGTGAAGATCTGTGTGGGAAAAGTGACATGTAAACAATATATAAACACACTCAAACTCAAACCAGGATTTACAAACTGATCTGTACCTCCCAGAGACTCAACATCACAATTACAGAGCTCAGACTCCTGCTGCATTTATACAAACACCACCACATCTGAGTCCAAACTACAGGACGACGGGAGGGAGGGCATCTGACACACACACACACACACACACACACATACACACACATACACACATACACACACACACACATA